AGTTTAAGTCTAGTTAGTTTTATAAAGAAAAAATGTGTTATAAACAGTGTAGGAAGTGGGATATAGCTGTCAAATGGAAGGTTGATGAGATAAATTTTGTAATAAAATAAATTTTAAACTTAATTAAATAAAATGTTAAATTTTAAGGAAATGAATAAGCAAATTAGTTTTAAAAGTGAGAAAATTGTAAAGTAAATTGATTCTTATTATAATCTAATCGCAATTAAAATAGACTTGAAATTTGTTTTTGATTATGGGCTTATTTATTATGGACTTTAAGACAAATTATTTAGTGAATTCAGCACAGTCTAAAAACTTTAGATTTGCTCTCCCCAGTTACTTATTTCACGATAGCTGGATAAAAATTTATTACAACTTTTGCACTTTATTCGACATTGAAGAACTGACTAAAGTTGTTAGTTGTATTTTAAACGTAAAAACAAGTTTGATTTTCTCTTAAAATCCGGATTTCAACTGAGACGTTTGATTGAGCGAACATAAAGATGACAGTTAATATAGAGATAATAAACAAAACAAAACAATTTAAAATTATTTTAAATAACATATGGTAAATTTACGTCTAGTCTATAGACTAGTCTATAGTCTAGTCTATAGTCTAGTCAATAGTCTAGTCAATAGTCTAGTCTATAGTCTAGTCTATAGTCTAGTCTATAGTCGTCTATAGTCTATTAGTCTAGTCTATAGTCTAGTCTATAGTCTAGTCTATAGTCTAGTCTATAGTCTAGTCTATAGTCTAGTCTATAGTCTAGTCTATAGTCTAGTCTATAGTCTAGTCTATAGTCTAGTCTATAGTCTAGTCTATAGTCTAGTCTATAGTCTAGTCTATAGTCTAGTCTATAGTCTAGTCTATAGTCTAGTCTATAGTCTAGTCTATAGTCTAGTCTATAGTCTAGTCTATAGTCTAGTCTATAGTCTAGTCTATAGTCTAGTCTATAGTCTAGTCTATAGTCTAGTCTATAGTCTAGTCTATAGTCTAGTCTATAGTCTAGTCCATAGTCTAGTCTATAGTCTAGTCTATAGTCTAGTCTATAGTCTAGTCTATAGTCTAGTCTATAGTCTAGTCTATAGTCTAGTCTATAGTCTAGTCTATAGTCTAGTCTATAGTCTAGTCTATAGTCTAGTCTAGTCTATAGTCTAGTCTATAGTCTAGTCTATAGTCTAGTCTATAGTCTAGTCTATAGTCTAGTCTATAGTCTAGTCTATAGTCTAGTCTATAGTCTAGTCTATAGTCTAGTCTATAGTCTAGTCTATAGTCTAGTCTATAGTCTATAGTCTAGTCTATAGTCTAGTCTATAGTCTAGTCTATAGTCTAGTCTATAGGTCTAGTCATGTCTAGTCTAGTCTATAGTCTAGTCTATAGTCTAGTCTATAGTCTAGTCTATAGTCTAGTCTATAGTCTAGTCTATAGTCTAGTCTATAGTCTAGTCTATAGTCTAGTCTATAGTCTAGTCTATAGTCTAGTCTATAGTCTAGTCTATAGTCTAGTCTATAGTCTAGTCTATAGTCTAGTCTATAGTCTAGTCTATAGTCTAGTCTATAGTCTAGTCTATAGTCTAGTCTATAGTCTAGTCTATAGTCTAGTCTATAGTCTAGTCTATAGTCTATAGTCTAGTCCATAGTCTAGTCTATAGTCTAGTCTATAGTCTAGTCTATAGTCTAGTCTATAGTCTAGTCTATAGTCTAGTCTATAGTCTAGTCTATAGTCTAGTCTATAGTCTAGTCTATAGTCTAGTCTATAGTCTAGTCTATAGTCTATAGTCTAGTCTATAGTCTAGTCTATAGTCTAGTCTATAGTCTAGTCTATAGTCTAGTCTATAGTCTAGTCTATAGTCTAGTCTCTATAGTTCTAGTCTATAGCTTCTATAGTCTAGTCTATAGTCTAGTCTATAGTCTAGTCTATAGTCTAGTCTACAGTCTAGTCTATAGTCTAGTCTATAGTCTAGTCTATAGTCTGTCTATAGTCTAGTCTATAGTCTAGTCTATAGTCTGTCTATAGTCTAGTCTATAGTCTAGTCTATAGTCTAGTCTATAGTCTAGTCTATAGTCTAGTCTATAGTCTAGTCTATTAGTCTAGTCTATAGTCTAGTCTATAGTCTAGTTCTATGAAGTCTAGTCTATAGTCTAGTCTATAGTCTAGTCTATAGTCTAGTCTATTAGTCTAGTCTATAGTCTAGTCTATAGTCTAGTCTATAGTCTAGTCTATAGTCTAGTCTATAGTCTAGTCTATAGTCTAGTCTATAGTCTAGTCTATAGTCTAGTCTATAGTCTAGTCTATATCTAGTCTTAGTCATCCTAGTTCTATAGTCTAGTCTATAGTCTAGTCTATAGTCTAGTCTATAGTCTAGTCTATAGTCTAGTCTATAGTCTAGTCTATAGTCTAGTCTATAGTCTAGTCTATAGTCTAGTCTATAGTCTAGTCTATAGTCTAGTCTATAGTCTAGTCTATAGTCTAGTCTATAGTCTAGTCTATAGTCTAGTCTATAGTCTAGTCTATAGTCTAGTCTATAGTCTAGTCTATAGTCTAGTCTATAGTCTAGTCTATAGTCTAGTCTATAGTCTAGTCTATAGTCTAGTCTATAGTCTAGTCTATAGTCTAGTCTATAGTCTAGTCTATAGTCTAGTCTATAGTCTAGTCTATAGTCTAGTCTATAGTCTAGTCTATAGTCTAGTCTATAGTCTAGCTATAGTCTAGTCTATAGTCTAGTCTATAGTCTAGTCTATAGTCTAGTCTATAGTCTAGTCTATAGTCTAGTCTATAGTCTAGTCTATAGTCTAGTCTATAGTCTAGTCTATAGTCTAGTCTATAGTCTAGTCTATAGTCTAGTCTATAGTCTAGTCTATAGTCTAGTCTATAGTCTAGTCTATAGTCTAGTCTATAGTCTAGTCTATAGTCTAGTCTATAGTCTAGTCTATAGTCTAGTCTATAGTCTAGTTATAGTCTAGTCTATAGTCTAGTCTATAGTCTAGTCTATAGTCTAGTCTATAGTCTAGTCTATAGTCTAGTCTAAGTCTAGTCTATAGTCTAGTCTATAGTCTAGTCTATAGTCTAGTCTATAGTCTAGTCTATAGTCTAGTCTATAGTCTAGTCTATAGTCTAGTCTATAGTCTAGTCTATAGTCTAGTCTATAGTCTAGTCTATAGTCTAGTCTATAGTCTAGTCTATAGTCTAGTCTATAGTCTAGTCTATAGTCTAGTCTATAGTTAGTCTATAGTCTAGGTCTATAGTCTAGTCATAGTCTAGTCTAGTCTATAGTCTAGTCTATAGTCTAGTCTATAGTCTAGTCTATAGTCTAGTCTATAGTCTAGTCTATAGTCTAGTCTATAGTCTAGTCTATAGTCTAGTCTATAGTCTAGTCTATAGGTCTAGTCTATCTAGATCTAGTCTATAGTCTAGTCTATAGTCTAGTCTATAGTCTAGTCTATAGTCTAGTCTATAGTCTAGTCTATAGTCTAGTCTATAGTCTAGTCTATAGTCTAGTCTATAAGTCTAGTCTATAGTCTAGTCTATAGTCTAGTCTATAGTAGTCATAGTCTAGTCTAGTCTAGTCTATAGGTCTAGTCTATAGTCTAGTCTATAGTCTAGTCTATAGTCTAGTCTATAGTCTAGTCTATAGTCTAGTCTATAGTCTAGTCTATAGTCTAGTCTATAGTCTAGTCTATAGTCTAGTCTATAGTCTAGTCTATAGTCTAGTCTATAGTCTAGTCTATAGTCTAGTCTATAGTCTAGTCTATAGTCTAGTCTATAGTCTAGTCTATAGTCTAGTCTATAGTCTAGTCTATAGTCTAGTCTATAGTCTAGTCTATAGTCTAGTCTATAGTCTAGTCTATAGTCTGTCTATAGTCTAGTCTATATGTCTAGTCTATAGTCTAGTCTATAGTCTAGTCTATAGTCTAGGTCTATAGTCTAGTCTATAGTCTAGTCTATAGTCTAGTCTATAGTCTAGTCTATAGTCTAGTCTATAGTCTAGTCTATAGTCTAGTCTATAGTCTAGTCTATAGTCTAGTCTAGTCTAGTCTATAGTCTAGTCTATAGTCTAGTCTATAGTCTAGTCTATAGTCTAGTCTATAGTTTAGTCTATAGTCTAGTCTATAGTCTAGTCTATAGTCCAGTCTATAGTCTAGTCTATAGTCTAGTCTATATTTTCTAAGATAAAAATTCCAATAAATATGTTGACAATAAGAATACAACAATAAAAAGCTTCCAGATCCCCCGAAAAGCAACTCAGTTGTTGTATGGTTTAACTTTAAAACATAAAGATGACAAACTTACAACCACCATAGAGATGTTACACTAGCGATAACACTAAACAATAAAAGAAATTACATTAAATAAATAAAATTAATAATAATAAAATACACTAAAAATAAAAAAATTATTAAATAAAAAGTAAAACAAATAAAAATGCTTTAAAAGTTGTGAAAATTTTATTCAATTTAAATAAAAAAATAGAAATAACAATTTATTTGCTTGTGCTTAATAAAAATGAGTGGATTTTTTTTATAAATAAAAACTGAAATTATAGAAAAATAAATGTAATTTAATGAAAAATGAAGAGATTTAAACAAAACACACACACGCACACATGTAAAGACAAAAACACATACAACTATAGTATAAACATAATAATGAATAAATTACTTTGGACAAAAGTTTTCAACAAAAATGATTGTGCATTGTTTGAATTTTTTTCTAAAAAATGTGTTTTATTTAATAAATTTTAGGTGTTTTTTTTAAATATATAAAAATGGTAATTGCTTAAAAGAGACTAAAATTCTATGCGAAACATATGCGTGATATTTAAAATATATATTTTAACAAAAATTAATTTGGTATGTTGAAAGCTTTTTAAAAAAACTTTTTGTTGTACCAAGTTTATTTTTTTATTTAATATTAAAAAAATTATATTTTATATAAAAAGTGTGTGTTTTGTCTGATGATGTTGTGAATTTTTTTAAGAGTTTTCTTTAAAAAATGACACTACATTTTGCAAAAATGTATGAAAAATAAGTTTTGCAGTATTTTTTTTTTTTTTTTTTTCAAATGTGTTTTATGATTGTGATGAAGTGTGATTTTTTGTTGTTGTGATTTTTAAAATTTTTTTTTGTGATTTTTTTTTTAAGAGCTACCCGTCTTATCTGGTTTTGTTTCTAAAGTTTGTGTAATCTTTTTCCAGATATTGTCAAATGCATCACGACCGGAATAGTCAACTTGACCCGATTCCCAGCATTGGCGACGCATCAATTGTTCGTAGGCATCCTGTTCGGGACTGCGTGGTTCACCCAAACGCAAATGTGACAAGGCACCAGCCAAACCAGCCTAGAAAAATCAAGAAGAAAGAAAAAATGTTTTAATAATTTTCGAAAAATTTTGATCTAAAGAATTCCCAATCCAATAAAATGCAACATTTAACATAGACACCTTTCCATTAAAAAAAAAAATTTACAAAAATATATAGTGAGGGACCGAAAGTCGGCTTCAGATCAGAGCTGAACTAATTAGTTCATAGTCTATGGACTAAACTATGAACTAGTCTATGAACTAAACTATGGACTAATCTATGTCCTAGTCTATCGATCAGTCTATAAACCAGTCAATAGATTATAATATGGACTAATCCTTAGACTAGTTCATAGACTAGTTAATAGAAAAGTCCATAGTCTAGTCCATAGATTACTTCACTGATCAGTCCATAGTCTAGTCCTTAGGCTTGATTATATTACTAGCCCATGGAATAGCCCCTTGATCCACCTGCTAGTCCGTAATCTAGTCCACTGTCTGGTCCAAAGCCTAGTCTATAGTTTAGTCCACAGACTAATCCATAATCTAGTTCATAAGTCCATAGTCTAGTTCTTAGACTAGTCCATAGTATAGTCTATAATCTAGTTCATAGTCAAGTCCATAGTTTAGTACATAGACTAGTCCATAATATAGTTTATAATCAAGTTCATAGACAAGTCCATAGTCTCGTCCATAGACAAATCCATTATATAGTTCATATACAAGTCCATAGTCTAGTTCATAGACTAGTCCATAGTAGAGTCTATAATCTAGTTCTATCTAGTCCTAAGACTAATCAAAAGTCTAGTCCATAGACTAATTTATAGACTAGTCCATTGTTTAGTCTATAGACTAGTCAAAAGCTATGTAGTTCATAGACTAGTTCATAGAAAAGTCCATAGTCTAGTCCTTAATCAGTCCATATTCTAGTCCCTAGACTTGATTATATACTAGTCCACAGTTTAGTCCATAGAATAATCCCTCGACTGGTCTATAGACTAATCCATAATCTAGTCCATAGTCTAGTCTAGTCCATAGTCTAGTCTAGTCCATAGTCTGGTTCAAAGACTAGCTTATAGTCCATTGTATAGTCCATAATTAAGTTCATAGACAAATCCATAGTCTAGTCCATAGACTAGTCCATAGTATAGTCGATAACCTAGTTCATAGACTTGTCTATAGTCCAGAGGTTAGTCCATAGTTCAGTACATGGACTAGTCCATAATGTAGTTTATAATCTAGTTGATAGACAAGTCCATAGTCTAGTCCATAGACAAATCCATTGTATAGTCTATAATGTAGTTCATATACAAGTCCATAGACTGATCCATAGTATAGTCTATAATCTAGTTCATAGACAAGTCCATAGTTTAGTGCATAAACTAGTCCAATGACTAATTCATAATCTAGTCCATAATCTAGTTCATAGCCTAGTCCATAGACTAATCAAAAGTCTAGTCCATAGACTAACTTATAGCGTAGTCCATTGTTCAGTCCATAGACTAGTCAAAAGTAACAGACTAATCCATAGTCTAATCCACAGACTAGTCCACAGTCTAAACCATAGACTAGTCCATACACTATTCCATTGTCTAGTCCATAGTCTAATCCATAAACCGGTCCATAGTTAAGTCCATAGACTTGTCCACAGTCTAGTCCATAGTTTAGTCCAAAGACTAATTCCATTGATTAGTCTATAGACTAGTTCGTAATCTAGTCCAAAGACTAATTCATAGTCTAGTTCTTAGACAAGTGCGCTTGTCAGTCCAAAGTTTAGTCCAAGTTCTTGTCAACAGTCTAATCCACAGACTAGTCAATTAATCTATAGCAAAGCCTGGTCCATATTCTAGTCCATAGACTAGCCTATGAACTATCTACCGATCCACTGACTAGTCTATTGACTACTTTATTGTCGATTTTACAGATCTAGAAACTTCGGTCGAACACTATATATATTAAGAAAAAATTATAAATAATATTAGTAAAATTGAGTTTTATATAAACAAAAACCAAAAAAATTTGTTGAGTTTACCTTAAGGAAGATTACTATAAGAATATCTAAATGTATTTCAACCAAATGTTTTCTATATAATGTACGTAAATAAGTAATGTAATGAGAGACGACTTCACAAGAGGCATGCCACAAAATGCAAAATAATAGAAATAAATTTTGAGAAATCTACAGATGATTTTTCTCCCCCACAACGAACGAAAACAATAACCACAAAATATATGAAAATATATAAACACTACAAAACGTAACGTTACGCTAACGTTAACGAAATGTTACATTACATAACGCTAAATCAAATGACGAATAGAAATGAAGATAATGAAAAGACAGAAAGGTATAAACGACGTTATGAGTTGTCTACATTGGACGTACAATATATATGTATATGTATGTATATGGATCGGTTCTATTTACTCTATGATGAATTTTCTAAACATGTATTTTACAACCATTACAATAGCACAAATGTTTTACATGGTAATATATAGTAATGTATTTGTATGTATGAATATATGTTTGTATGTGTTGTATTCCATAAATAATTGGGAGGACATCATCGATACATCACTAGTTTTTTAAGGTGCTTAGATTTATTTTGTTCAAATTTAACTTTTGGTTACCTCTTCTTCGACTTTTTCTTGTTTTTGTTCACAAACTGTATTCTCAGTGCTAGAGGTAGAGTTATCGTTATCGTTCGATTCCTGTAGGCTATAGCTTTCAATACTACTACATCTAGTAGTATTATCGGGTGAAATCGAGTCAGTTTTAATACTACTCAACTGACTATTGTTTAAGGTGGCCGTTGTAGTGTTTTTTCTATCTTGTTCTGTGTTATCGTTTTCTATATCATCTCTATTAGTGACAGCTAATGCTTCACATTCACAACTTTTACTGCTAGTTGAAGATTCCTCTTTAACCTCACTTTGTCTCTCTAAATCTACAGATATAGTGGATTCTGTTTCAAAATTTTTATTACTATCTTCTACAACTTGTTGTTGTTGGTAATGTTCATGATGATGTTGTTGTTGTTGTTGTTGCAGTTCATAATGATATTCCTGTTCCATTTGATATTCTTGAACATTATTATCATTGCCTTGCCATTCTCTATTTACATTGCCATTTTCCGCATAACCTTGTATATAGCCGTCACCATTTGTTTGTATTTCCTCCTTAGCTTCCTGTTTGCTATAGTAATCTTCCCAAGGATCATGAAATTCGATTTTTTTATTAGTATAATGTTCTTGATAATGTTGGTATTGTAAATTATATTGCAAATTTGTGTCAATTTCGTGTTGCTGCTGATGTTGTTGTTCATAGTGCCGTTTTAGTTCAAAGGCCATGTTGTCATAGTTACTTTTCCATGGCATTAGATTGGGTAATGAATATCTCTATTTTTTATTTTATTATAATTTTTTCATATTTAAGCGATTTTTTTATTGTTTTATAGATATTTATTGAAAAAGTGTTTTTATTTAGAGAAACAATTTTTGTTTAAGCGAAATGTGAAATGATAGAGAGAGAAAAAAATATAACGGAAATTTATTAATTAGAAACAAAATGTTTTAATGGAATGAAGAAAAAGAGAGAAAAAACATATTTATGAGAGAAAAGAAAAAGTTGATTCAAAATTTCGGACGCCCTATATAATGTAGAATCTGTTATAAATCTTCAACAAATTCTTAATACGTAAATTTTAGTCGAAGGTACATAATCGTAAATCTACCCTTATTAGCCGAGTACTTATATCCGATATTATTCCGGGAACACATTTGTGTGGGGCCTAAGATCAAATTTCCCATTTTTGTTCAGGCCTTAAGCTATAAAAGTGGCAATATGGGCTATACTTTTAACAGGCAGATTGAGGGAAATTGATCCAGATCGCCTTGAATCTTACACGAATGCAGAATATCTACCCATATTAACTGTGAATATTAAATTCCGATATTCTTCCGGAAGCACATTTGTGTGAGGCCTAGGATCAATATTTCCCATTTTCATTATCAAATATTCAGACCTTAAGCTACAAATATGGCAATATGGGCTCTACTTCTATCAAGCAGATGGACGAACATTAAACCAGATCCAGTCTTGAAACATATAAGAATGCTGAATATCTATTTTTTAGGGTCTACGGTAAAGTTTTCATTACTTTTCGAAATTAATATAAAAACACATAAGGTTTTGACATAATTTAGGAAATTAGTGACATGGAATAATATTAGTTACATTACCTTTAGGTCCTATCTAAATCTATAGATAAGTCTGGAAAGTATAGAAAACTGATCCTCAAAGTCAAATTACTAATTCAATAGCTTCTCAACCAGATAAATGGAGTCCTATATACAACTTTCCCTAACTTGACTACTACGAACCAGTAACAGTAATAAGTATATTAAAGGTGAAATATTTCCTTCTGAATCGGAAAGAGTCACTTAAATTGTGGGACCATTAAGTATGTCTTTTCGAAATCTAGATTAATGAGAGAATACCGGATAATTCAGGACGAGATATAGACTTATTCTATGGTTAAACTAACATAGGACCCGGGTCGCATCAAAAACCAGAGCAACCGTATAGCCGAGGAACTAGGCGAGGAAGTAGCCAGGATAGGAACGTCACTGGTTAATAAACTCGTATCTCGCCTATGAATTGTCACTTACTAAATAGTTCAAAATGTAGCCCTGTGGCATGTCTTAAGGTCCATCTGGCCTCTGTATGATTACTCTAGGATAACATTCTAGATAAGTTACCGAAGAGAGGAGATAAAACATGCCTACCAGGCGACTCGGTCTCTAGATAAGTTTCCAAAGAGAAGAGATAAAAAAAGCATGCCAGGCGATTGGGTCTAACACCTGTTGTAGAAGAGGAATATGGGACTTTTACAGTGGTTCAACTTTGGTTCTTCTTTCATTTCAATATACGATCTGGTTGCTTTCTTTTGAAAGAGTCGCAGATATCTTCATTTATTCGAAATGTCGCGGAGACACAATAGATTAGGAGCAAATCCAACCTAAACCCATTCGTTTGTTATACTAGATTCCTTGCTATCATGGAGGTTAAACCCATATTGATGTATGATGGTTGTTGTAAGAGTATCGCTGTTGTTGGAAGTTATCCCTTGAGGAAGAAACTTCCGCTGTTTCGCAGCTCTTGCTGAGTTAACAATCACTGGCCGCTTGAGAATCGTCTCGTTTAGAAACAATGATTTAATTTTCGTGGAACGCTCTAGCATGGTGGACTGGACTGATTGAAGACTGTGTTGAAAGCTTATTTGAGGGAATCCTTCTACGACCTTCCTTCCACATTAGCAGTGACTTTTGTTTTACCGTGATGAACTGGCTACCGATTGGTATAATGACAAAACAAGATAATAACTCTAGGAATCAATATGCCTTTTAATAGGTTGACCCTGTTCCTTTCAGATACCACAAGGGGAGAGTAGGGGAGAAATAATAAGAGTTAACCTCCTAACAGAACCAAACATACCCGTAACGTTGGTATTTTAGTGCCTTATCATCGAGTGAACAGATAGTGTCTTTCAGCCAAAGTTCTTAGAGATCTGGAAAGCCTTAGACAAGTTCGGGGTACGTTAGATTCCAGCTAAGAAACTAGTTTTGAAGGAGCTCTAAGTAGAAGCGTTAATTGGAATACACACAATAAGATTGTGTTGGGTACCATTTGGCCAGATGGGGCTCTGATGTGGACCAAAATGGTAGAGTTAAGTCGGTAAAACCTTCTATCCGTCACTGCTATACTAGATTAATCTCTAAATAGTTCAAGGACTCTAGCAAACGATCCTGCCATAGTAGGACGGACTCCAGAGTTTTCAAAGCACATGGGGTCATGGTTAAACCTGAGTACTATTTCGATTGCATAGGAAGAGTATAAGGACAATAGTAGAAATAATAAGTGGTCACTGCGCAATTAGAGCCTTTAAAGGATCCCCGAATAGGAACTAGAAACAGTAGAGTAGTTTCGGAGTCTGAGACAGAAATATCAAGGAAAAAGATTCAATGATGAACTAGAAGATAGATGGGTGCGATTTAGATAACCTTCTCATCCTCTTACTATTCTCTTGTTCTTTTGTAAAGGGAATCTTAATGAACCCTTAGGATCGGTCCCTATAGAAACATACCTTTTTAAAATAAGGTCATGAATTTCGATCTCAAACAGAGAAATTCTAATCTGAAGTGCATACAAAACCTAAACAAATTTCTATTACACAATCTGATGAAATTAAACAAAAATAATTTTCCATAAATTTTTCGCAAAAAAATAATTTTCATAATATGTTGTTTTCTAGACGCAACCCAACGAATCGCTATATATGTCGCATATACATAGATACACAACAATTTTAGACATTTAATTCTTTTTTCCGAATATTTTTTAAGAAATTAAACCAAAACAACAATCAACTGGCACTGGGCCAACAGCGTTCTGAACTAAATTTGTATAAACGATTTTCATTTCAATTTAGTATGGGTGAATGAAAGATTTTATTTGAATAGAAAAAAAATGTTGTGAAAACTTGTACGAAACAGAAGAAGAATAAAAAAAAAAAGAAGATGTTCCAAATTGTCTCTATGCGTCAATGATTTGGGTGGGGCCAACACCAAACAAAATAATGCTTTTGAAGACAAGTATAAACAATTATGAAAAAAAACACAAACTGCAAAAAAGTAGAGTGTGTAAATAAGATTTTGAATTTGTTTATGAAGATAAATATTGAAAATATTGCAGTAACACCAATAAATTAAAAAAAAAAGAAAAATAATGGAATGGGAACATTGAAATTATAAAAAAAATAAACTTTGAAGGATAAATTTCATTTGAAATAAAAAGTGCGTTTTTGTGAATTTTATCTAATATGACTGAAGGTGATTAGAGATTTATTAAAGATCTTACCTCTGTTTCATTAATATTCTTAATATTTTCCTGCTTGTCTGTGATTTCAAAGACAAGGGCAAGCTTGGGAAATAATCATTTTATTATTATTTGTACATAAGTTTAATATTAGGAAGTTGTAATTAATTAAGTGTCGGTTCATACTTAGCAACTTTTGTAGCTCTCCTTTTGAGTTTATTGAAGAGAAGGGAAATAAGAATTGTAAAGCAACTATAATTCTAATATTTAGTCCGTAGATTAGACAATAGACTAATCTATCCACTACTCTATAGACTAATAAACTAGTCATAGACTAGTTCATAGACCAGTTAATATAATATTCCATACTAGTTTATAGACTAGTCCATACACTTACCTATTGTCTTGTCACTAGACTAGTCCAAAGACTAGCCAATAAACTACACATTAGTCCATAGGCTAATCAATGGATTATTCCAAAGGCTAGCCCTAGTCTTCAGACTAGTCTGTAGAGAAGCTAATAGAAGAAGCTATTGTCTTGTCACTAGACTAGTTCAAAGACTAGCCAATAAACTACACATTAGTCCATAGGCTAATCAATGGATTATTCCAAAGGCTAGCCCTAGTCTTCAGACTAGTCTGTAGAGAAGCTAATAGACTCGTCCATTGAATGGGCAATAGAATAGTCCCCAGACTAGTTCATATACTAGGCAATAGACCAATCCATAGACTAGTCAATAAACTAGACAATAAACTAGTCCATACTAGTTCATTGACTAGGCAATAGACTAGTTTATAGACTAGGCATTATACTAGTGCTCAGACTAGTCCATAGACTAGGCAATAAACTGGTCCATAGACTTGGCAATAGACTAGTCCATATACTAGGCAATAGATCAGTCCATAGACTAGGCAATAAACCAGTTCATAGACTAGGCAATAGACTAATTAATAGACTAGTCCTCAAACTAGACAATAAACTAGTCCATACACTAGGCAATAGACTAGTCCATAGACTAGGCAATAGACTAGTCCATAGACTAGGCAATAGACTAGTCCCCAGACTTGCCTATATACTACACAATAGACTAGTCCACATACTAGGCAATAGACTAGTCCATAGACAAGGTAATATACTTGTCCATTGAGTAGGCAATAAACTAGTCCATAGACTACGCAATAGACTAGTCCATAGACTAGGCAATAAACTAGTCCATAGACTAGGCAATAGACTAGTTCATAGACTATACAATAGACTAGGTAATTGACTAGTTTATTGACTAGGCATTAGACTAGTCCATAGACTAGGTAATAAACTAGTCCATAGACTACACACACACTAGTCCATAGACTTATTGCCTAGTCCATAGACAAGGCAATAGACTTGTCTCAGACTAGTCAATAGACTAGTCCATAGACTAGGCATTAGACTAGACCTCAGACTAGTCCATAGGCAATTCAATAAACTAGTCCATAGACTAGGCAATAGACTAGTCCATAGGCTAGGCAATAGACTAGTCCATAGGCTAGGCAATAGACTAGTGCTCAGACTAGTCCATAGACTAGGCAATAAACTAGTCCATAGAATAGAGAATAGACTAGTTCATAGACAAGGTAATAGACTCGTCCATTGACTAGGCAATAAACTAGTCCATAGACTAGGCAATAGACTAGTTCATAGACTAGGCATTAGACTAGTCCATAGAATAGGTAATAAACTAGTCCATAGACTAGGCAATAGATCAATCCATAGACATGGCAATAAACTAGTCCATAGACTAGCCAATATACTAATTCATAGGCTAGGCAATAGACTAGTTCATAGTCTAGGTAATAGACTAGTCTTCAGAATAGGCAATAGACTAGTCCATAGACTAGTCCATAGGCTAGGCAATACACTAGTGCTCAGACTAGTCCATAGACTAGGCAATAAACTAGTCCATGGACTAGAGAATAGGCTAGGCAATAGACTAGTGCTCAGACTAGTCCATAGACTAGGCAATAAACTAGTCCATAGAATAGAGAATAGACTAGTTCATAGACAAGGTAATAGACTCGTCCATTGACTAGGCAATAAACTAGTCCATAGACTAGGCAATAGACTAGTTCATAGACTAGGCATTAGACTAGTCCATAGGATAGGTAATAAACTAGTCCATAGACTAGGCAATAGATCAATCCAAAGACATGGCAATAAACTAGTCCATAGACTAGCGAATATACTAATTCATAGGCTAGGCAATAGACTAGTTCATAGTCTAGGTAATAGACTAGTCTTCAGACTAGGCAATAGACTAGTCCATAGGCTAAGCAATAGACTAGTCCATGGGCTAGGCAATACACTAGTGCTCAGACTAGTCCATAGACTAGGCAATAAACTAGTCCATAGACTAGAGAATAGACTAGTTCATAGACAAGGTAATAGACTCGTCCATTGACTAGGCAATAGACTAGTCCATATACTAGGCAATAGACTAGTCCATAGACTAGTCCTCAAACTAGTCCATAGACGAGTCCACAGAATAACCAATAGTCCATAGAATAGTCAGAATACTAAAAAATAGACTATTCCATATACTTGTCTACTAACGGACTAGTCCATACTCCTCTCTCCGACAAACTCGAAAATTAAGCCACAAAAGTTACTTTGTGGGAACCGATACTAAACGAACTATATTTTGAAGTTATATTAGAGAAAACAAAATTAAAAATCGGGAAACATTGGGACAAACAATCCTGTTAACTTAAAAGTTAATTGTACAAAAACAAAAAATTGGCGGGGGGAAAAAACTCAAAATTCAAATAACTTAAAAGATCAGCCTAAGATAGCATTAATATAACTAAAATAAATACATACGAAAAATCCAACTTACCATAGTGTCAGTTAAATTTTGATGAACATTATCGAAGAAGATATTCCACCAGAGTTGTATTAAATCAGCAGCATGCGAATAATCCGACGGTACACAGGGCATTTTACTTTGTGAATTGAATTGTATCAACCAGGGTTTCATTTTGCCAGCGAAATGCAAAATCTTAATCTTATCTCTGAATTGTTTAAAGGCGGGCAAATAACAATACGAAGCATAAGCTGTAACATTGTATAAGAAAGGCAAACGTTTCTTCAAATCACTGGTAGCCCAATCGGCGAAATATTGATTCAATAGACCCTGATCACCACCATCGAAGCTGCCGTTTTTCAAGCCGAACTCAACGATTTTATCGAAAGTTTCCTGGCTGGGCTTATAGACAAAAACGCCGGAATTGAAACAATCGGGCCAGCTGACATCGGGAGCGGCAGAGAATTCTTCACGTTCAAAAAGTTCATCACAATTTTGTAAAACCTAAAAGAGAAATTACATGTAGAATTAGTATCTAGTATAGTATGTTTAAGATATATAAGTTAGACCTACCAAAGTGTCCGAATCCAAGAAAACGCATTTCTCAAATTGTACTAAACGCCAACAGTGTAATTTGGTGAAGGTTATACCCAATTCAGGTCTGGACAATAAAGCCAAATTGGCTGAATCTTGTGAATCCATAATATTAACTTCTTGCACAAGATTGTAAACATCTTTCAGTTTGCCGCGCATGGATTCTGACACACCGGGTGTGACCAAAACGGCCAATTGATGTTTTGTACCGGCCCGTCTTAAAGAATGAGCCAATACTAAGGCACCCAAGGAATACGTATCATTTGTGGTTAAAGTTACCCAAGCGAAATCTGGAATTTAACGGGAAAAAAAGAGAAAAGAAAGAAATTATTAATTAATAAAATAATTATTTATTAATATTTTTATTAAATTGTTTAATAAATTTATAGCTTACATGCAGCTGCAAAGCATTAGCGTAATTTTCTTTTGGCAAAATTATATTTTTATTAATTTTTCTTTTTAATTTAGCTGTTGTTTTTGTTTAGTGATAAATTAAGTTTAAATTTTAAAACGTAATAATGTGACAATGACGTTATTGAGTAGATTTTTTTTTTTGTAAATAAATTGTTTCTTTTTGCGCAATTTTGTTATTTTTAACAAATTTGTCATAAGTGTTACCATAATGAAAGAAAAGACTGTTAGATAAAATAAAAATGTTTAACTGTACTCAGCGTAAGAGCTGCCGTTTAGTCTTATAACTACCGGTTTCTGGGATTTTATGGGGAAATGAAGGGTTTATGGTTTAAATTTAAATATTATTTAGTTTTCTTTTTTTTTATAAACGTCATGTTTGCCAAATGTTTTCAACACATGTTTGACGTAACGCCGTTCAAAAATAAATATTTCATTTTATGCGAAAATGTTTTTTTTTATAGTTTCTAAGAATGACAGATATTTGGCAACGAATTGCTCTATGGCGATGCCATTAATTGTTTTCTAATAAATGAAAAGAAATTTATTCTAATTTTATTAATTACTTGAAATTTTTAATTATAATAAACAAAATTTCAATAAAAATTAATTTACATGTTTAATTTCAAATATCTTTCAATGTGAAATAGAAACTTATAATTTTAATATATTGACTAAATTTTAAAATTTGCCAATTTTTTAAAACAAAACATTTTAATTATATCAGGAACGTAGAAATTTCATTCAAACACCAATTTCCCTAAAAGGGAAATTTTTAAAAACAAAAGAAATTTATAAAAATTTTTTGATAATAACAAAATTATTATGAAATAAGTAAAAATCTTTAAAAATAATGAAATTGTTTCGAAAAGAAATTTTCCCTAAAAGGAAATTTTATTATTTATATAGAATTTTATAAAATTTTATTGAAATGAAAAACTTAAACTAAATGTATAAGAAATCGAAAAAAAATTTATATAAAATTTTAAAAAATAAAAATTTCCCTTAAAGGGAAATTTTTTAAATTCGAAAAATTTTAATAAATTTTGTGAATCTTCAAAAATATAGCAGAAATAATGTAGAAATCTATGATCTTTTTATAGAAATTGTTTAAAACAAAAATTTTCCTAAAAGGGAAATTTTTGAAATAACAGAAATTTTTAAAAATTTTTAGAGAAATAAATGTTTTATCAAGAAACAATGAAAAATCATTGGAATATTTATGGAAAAAGTTTAAAAACAAAATTTCCTCTAAAGGGAAATTATGAAAAATAAAGGAAATTTTTTTAAATCTTATTAAAATTAAAAATTTATCTGAAATATAATAGAAATCAAAAAAATTTACATAAAATTCTAAAAATTAAAAATTTCCCTTAAAGGGAAATTTTTTAAATTCGAAAAATTTTAATAAATTTTGTGAATTTTCAAAAGTTTATCAGAAATAAAGCCGAAATTAATAATTTTTTAAAGAAAATT